ATTCTAAACATTGTTTCTAAACGCTCTAAAAGAGCACAGAATGTCATGATTTCAGCTCCCTGCCTCAGCTGCTCTTTACCACCTGCAAGCGCTCTCGGCCACGCCCACTTCTCTGCTCTGCACAGGGATCAGCTGATTAGCTGCAGGATGAAGCTTATTCTGCAATGTGGGTTGCACAAATGTGCAGCAGGTGCTAAGTAATTTAAAATAATTTATTTTAAATAAAAATTTTGTGCCGATCGTTCGGCTCTTCCCATCAGTCAACCAAATGTGTGTCATGTCCAATCTTATTTTGAAAAACCGCAATAGAGCGAGTCCGCAATAAACGAACTGCGAAGTAGCGAGGGACTACTGTACTGGTATGTCGCATCATAAAATCGTCTTAATCACAAAATATAAAAGCGTTAAAAGTTATTTTAAATTATTTTAAGACTTCTATGCTCAGTTGTTGCAGTGTAATTGATCAAGACGTACATTTCTGCTCTGTGCTGCATCAGCTGCGTGAAGGGTTAACCTGGGGGCATGGTCCCCTAAACCCTGTGATAAATGGGGGACTACTGTATTCATTGTGCAACAGTGTCCTGCTGAATGAATGAAAAAGTTTTGATTCAAAGTTGTTTTTTTAATTTTCTTATTTGCACTTATGTCTGCTAAAGGATGGTGAGACGAGGAGTCCTCTTTGCCGTCTGCTCCATCTTTTTGAGCATGCCCAGTCAAAGCTTGCTGGTGGACTTCAGCGATCAGCTGCTTGAGACCAGAACTTGGCTTGCAGGTAATTAAAAATAAATGTTATATATATATAATATAATTAGATACACAAAATCTAAATACCGAAAAAATCAAATGTTTTAGATGTTGTAACTCTGTGCCAATAAAAATCCCTGGTGTGAATAGATTTAAAATAAATCTATGCTGAATGTCTTTTTTTTTTTTTTTTTTTTTGCCCCTATTTTTATAAATGAACTTTGCCTCAGATCTGCACCTGCATCGTGTATTTCTGTTAGCAATATCCCGTCACACTTAAGGGCGAACACATGCACAGCTGGAAAGAGCATTTCTGGGAAATGGATGAGGAACCAGGATGTCCTGTTCTGCATGGCTGTCTGTGACGCAGTTAGCTTAACAGTTGGGTTTTATTTCTTTATTCTTTATCCCCTTGGGTTTAAAAGTAGTTTTACTTTCAAGTGACAGCTCTGAACACTTAGTTTTTACACGTGGTAAGTTGTGTGAAATGAGATGTAACACTTATGGCAGTATTTTTTTCTTTAGCTGGAAAGCTATTTATTTTTGTGTTACTGATCACAGATGTGGCTGAAGGAGACCCCGATGCAGACTGCAGGAGTTTAGCTGTGCAGAGTCTGGTGCTGCTGGATAAAAGTCTGAAGAAGCAGCTACAAGATTAACCGGCGCTGAGCCTGGAGTCATGATCACAACACCAGCAGTGGTCGAATAAAATTATGCAAAAGAAAAACACTTTTTAATTAGATAAGTCTGATAAAGGCTGGAGTACAATTGATGGTGAAAGGTATGCTCCAAATATCACTGGCACAAATAGCTAGTCTGTCAGGAATGGATTATCCTGATTATCTGCTGAAGGATGTTTTGAGCTCAGTAGCTACCGTTGCAGATGCTTCATGTTTTTCATCACGTCCTGTAACGTTCAACAATCCACACAGACTTGTACATAATAAAAAATTTAATTTTGGATGTTAAATGATTTTTTAATGCATCTTTGCTTTTGCTTTACAGTTAATAGCCATACAGTACTACTTTTGATAGTGACTGACTTTAAAATGTGTTAATTTCTATTTTCTTAAAGATTAAAAGAAAATGTTGTTTTCAAAAACTGTTGGCACTTTTACATTATTTGAGTGTTTTTATTTATTAAAAAAAGTATGTATTTGACTTCACCCTTCTTCAGGGGTTGCCACTGCGTGCAAACTCTCAAGAGATTTGGGAATTGTTTTACGCAGGAATCCCTTCCTGATGCACAACCTCAGGATTACAAGACTTCAGCACTGACCACCGAGCTACTACACCCCATGAGTGTTTTTATTAAATAATTAGAATGCATTGATCTAAAGAGGTGATTGGATAATTTTCTGATTGTACTGTACAAGCAAGTATGAAAAGAGTTCAACAGGAACTCTCATCACCTGTTATCGTCGGCAGCAATTCGGAAACCTTCGTTTTTTTCCGTAACTCCGCCTCCCGGTCCTGCCTCTGTGGTTGTCAGGGGCAACTACGAGAGACGCTTTTTTACTCAGAGGGGAGGCTACACGACAACGTAGCAAAATAACCGGTCCATGTCTCGCTTTCTTTCGGTTTTTAACGAAAAGGGTGTTGTTAATGCCAAGAAAGCGTCTCTGAAGTAAGTCCTCATCAGCTTAACTAAATGTTTTCGTAGTTTTTGTCAGCGAAGGTGATCCGTATGCTGTGGCTAGCTTAGCTAATGCTAGCAGCTCGTAAAGCTAAAAATGGTTTCTAACACACGAGCTATCCTCATAAGTCGCTGAATCAAGTTAACCCAAAAAAACAACAGTTATTTACAATCAGAGTAAATGTGCTTTAAGATTTTGCATTAACTAGTAGCTCTATGATGGATAGAGGTATAAATATAATTTGTTTTTTTTTCATTCAACCTTTGTTTAGACAGGTAAATCCCTTTGAGCCTCGAGGACTCATTTACAAGAGAGACCTGATTTCAACAAAGAATGATGACAACAATGGACAACAATAGACCGTTATAAAAAGGCATACAGATTTTATTTTATTTTTTAACAAATAGTGATGGCTAAAAAAGAAAAGTAACAAAAAACAGCTAGATTCTAAGGCGAATATAGAAAACTAAAAGCAGGAACATGTCTGCATTGGTCCCTGCCAGGAGTCCCAACAGATTCTTAAAGCCACTTAGAGAGGTCAAGGTCGAGTTATATTCACTAACAATGAGCATGAATGAATTACGTAACGATGTATGGACTACATGAAACGTAAAATTAAAGAATGGAGTCCTCCAATGCAAGAGTTGGGGGTTCGATTCCACCAGCAGTCACATGCCAAAGTGTCCCTGGGCAAGACACTGAAGCCCTCATTGCCTCTAATGTGTGTCCCATCGATGTATGAATGTGACAAAGCACTGATTAGTATTTATATAGATATACAGTAGTAGAGTGCTGTATGGTCAAATGTTGGCAAAGATTGTAATGTAAAACGCTTAGAGTATTTTGATTAGATAGAAAGGTGCTATATAAGTACAGTCCATTTCCCATTTATATATTTCTGCCTGTGTTTCCATCTTCTTGTTTAGACATAAAGTGGGGACATGGCGGTGTATTTTGACCACCGTATTGCGGCCCCTGAAAACAGTGACGTGCCCTCTCACCTCACATGGCACTCGACTTTTCCGGTACTGGCTGTGGCCTCAAGCAGCCCTTCTTGCGGAGGCAGTGTAGACCTCTACCTACAACAGGTAAACACAGGGCTCAGAGGGCTGCACTCTGACAAAGAGACTGAAAGAGGGCTATTTTTTGTTTTCTGATATTAAATATTGATGTCACTAAACAGTACTGTGTAAAAACAGGGAGAGCATGTTGAGAGCTGCCATGTAGAACGACCCTACCAGCCCACTGTGCTTCGTTGGCATCCCTTAAAGCCAGTTCTGGCTCTGGGATGGGAGAATGGAGAGGTAGTGTTGCTGATACAGACCTCTGGAGATCAAATAGTCTTGCCCAGTTCTCACACAGCCTGCATCACACTGTTGGAGTGGAGTACGTCAGGCAGCCGTTTAGTAACTGGTGACCAGGTATGTTTTCATTCATCTACAACAAATGTGAATGTCATTTACTTTTTTGGCCTTAGGGTGATATGGACCTAAATTAAGTTACCTATGTGCAACATAAAAATAGCTTAAACTTTGTATTTCATATTTATCCTGTATTTTGTTTTGATTCGTTGACAGACCGGCGCTTTAGCAGTATGGAAGTTCGATGCCAGAGGGAGACCTATGGGAAATCCTCTAGTTAGGCATGAATACAACAAACCTTTAACTTGTTGCATCTTCAGACCTGCCTCTCCTGGAGAGTAAGTAGTAGATCTTTTTTTTTTTACTTTAGGCATAATTGGGCTTTGTTTACACTTGTGTTGTTGCACCATCTTTTTCATTTGTTTTACTTGAATTAATTTAATTATATGAAAAATCATGGATATCACTATGTAGCTGAGCTGGAGTAATCAAAAAACATACCCTATAAATTGAAGTAATCTTTCTTTTGAAAGAAAAATCTTTCACTGCAAACGTGTTGGTCTGTAAGGCATGGTATACATATATCTAAATACAAAAGATTCAAGTGAAAAATCTTAGAAATGTTTAATTTAAACAATGAGTTGCTAATATAGGCCCTAACTCTCTTAACAGTGATGTGGCAAAGTTAGCTCGGGCTTCTGTGAGTGGAGATGAGAGCGCGCTGGACATGTTCAGTTGGAAGGGAGCACCTCTAAAGATGGGCCCTCAGGAGGGACTTGCATTCTATGTCAGCACTGCCGACGGTAAAAATGTCTTTGGTTTTGTTTGTAGTCGAGCATGTTTTAGCATATTTATTGATTATTTATCTCAATGTCCTTTATACACAGGAAAGGTCCATGTTGTTGATGAGCATTGTAAGACGAGCACACTTCTTATTGTGGAGGGCTCCATCAAGAAACTTTTCTATTTTGAAAAAAGGGAGATGTTCGCTGTGATCACAGAGACCCTTATGTTGTCACAATACAAGCTGAGGCCTGAGGGTGGAGCACAGGAATTTATGAAGGTATACCAATATGATTATAAAAACCTTGAGTGGATAATATTTTATCAGTTATTTGGATTTTCAAAAATGGAACTCAGGTTTATGAACATGACTATTTTCAGGTGAAGTTGAGCAGCAAGGCTGGACAAAACACTGACATTATTTGGACAGAGAACAGCCTCCTTATAACGGCAACAGGGGAACAAATAGTCAGGTCTGTTTTTACGTATAATCTCTGCACACATGCATGTTTCTACCTTTGGTAGTCATTTTTTTTCCTCTTACCCTTTCAGGCTGTCGGACCTGGAGAGAGATGACAATTATGTTTTATCTCTCGACGAGACATTGGGGTTTGAGAAAGGAGAAATTATAAATTGTGTTTCATACTGTGCAGCAAAAGGTAAATATAAAACGTGCAAAAATGGGACAAACAGTGCTTTTTAATTACAGTTATGCGGTTTTGTAATTAGTTTTGCCATTTACTATATTCTTAAAATTCAAGCAAGCAGTTGCCCCTTTATTGGGACAGTGTTGGTGATCTCTGGAAAAATCAGAATTCTTTTTATAATGTGTGGAATCCTTAGAAATCCTGGCGGCCGGTACTTCCAATGGGCGCATAGCAATGTGGAAGATGGTGATGCAGCCAAGCAGCAGAAGATTAGACACCAAGGTCCTGTGGAAATTACAAACACCCACAGAAATAGATGGAAATGTCACTCAGCTACAGGTACCATCTTCACAATCTCACCGTTTTCTTATATATCTATGAAAATCATCAGCAGCATATGTACATCTTTCAGTTTTAAAATAGAAAGTATTTGAATTTTCATTTTAGTGGGGCTCCAGCCAGAATCTGCTGGCAGCAAACAATTCAAAGACGGTGCTGATTCTCTGCGAGCACAGCATGTCAGCCCACTACAGCCAACAGGTGGCAGCAGTGCAGCTCACCCCGACACAGCTCAGCATCACTCATTTCACCACAGGAGTGCACCTTGCTCTGCAGTCTGACATGCACATCAAAGGAGTGTGTGTTAGCAAGGCAAGAGTAGAGAAGAAAGCCCTGACTTTTTTTTTTTAAATATGAATAAGAAGAATTTAAAGTTATTGTCTTGTTCAACTTGTTTTATTGTACCAACAGGACTCTGTGACCATCTGGAATGGTAAACAAGTCAACGTATATGAGCTCTCAGAGACAGTTTTACGCAGCACAGGTAAATATGTGAACTCTTTAAACTGCAGTTCCAATACTGCACTGCATTTAATCTTTTCCTTACAGTTTTATTTTATTGTAATTTGTGATTTATTAATTTTTTTTTCTCAAATTTTCAACACCAACTTTCTCTATGTTCCTTTCCTATGCTACGCAGGATCATTTTCTTGTGATTCCCAGGTGGTAGCTGTACATGATGAGAACCTCTACACCGTGGAACCAAACAGGGTACAAATCCGAACGCCACAGGTTTGTTACGACATCAAACACAGTCTCAATACACAAAGTTTGTTTAGAATTTTAAGACCTTTTTGTTTTGTTTGCTTTTTTTGTTTGACCATCTTGTTTTTTTTTTTCAGGGCACAGTAAAGCAACTTTTAACTTTCTCCAAGGCAGAGGGAAACCCTGTGCTACTCAATGTGTGCCAGTCTTACCTGGTGGTAGGTACAGACACAGCACACATCAGAGTTTTTGACCTCTCTAGAAGGTATGGATTTTATGACAATCATTTCCCTTAGTATAAACACTCTATTAATGGATCCTGCTGGCTGAATTCATGCGTAGTATCTTGCCACTTTTATTAACATTTTAATATTTTTATAGGGATGCCAAAGCTCACTGCAGTGCTAAAAACTTGGCAGACCAGATTGCCAATATGGGTGCTCTGAAGTCTGTCAAATGCAATGCCAGTGGTAGCCAAGTTAGCATCCTGATCTCTCAGGTAAACAATTTCACTGAAATCTGAATAGCTTAAAACATTGTGCTTATTAACAAATTATAAAAGAAGTGTAATATCTTATCTTGGTTGTACTGATCTTTATTTTTTCAGGTAAATGGACGACCGGATCACAAAGTGTACTTTTACGATGTTGAGATGGACACTGTTACTCACTTTGACTTCTTCACTGGGAGGCCATCCAGTGGTGTCTTTCAGCCCGAAGAAAGTTATAAGTAATTATATTTTGGTTTGTATATCCTGTGTCTATACACATTGTCTTCTATTTGTCCCCTATGCTGATGGACATGCCTGTGTTTCGTAGGCAGAAGTTTCAGGAGACTGAATTCAGGGAACGCTGTCCTGTGTCTCACTACTGGGACGAAAGCGAACCTCGCCTTTTTGTTTGTGAGACGGTGCCAATCAGCTCTGAAACCTCATCAAGGAATCACTTAGATGTGGTAAACGTGACTCTTCTAAACCAATAAATGTAAAATGTTACTGCACAGCTACAGTGCGTGGTACCTTTTACTTCTGCAGGCACTGCATTTATTAAAACATTTACTTACATTTATAAATAAATGAAACTGAGAACCTAAAGCCATTTTTTTTCTAGTTGTTTTTTAATAGTGTGAAAGAAAAAGTTAGACAGTGTCCCATGTCCTGTCCTCCTAGGTGGATGTATCAGTAGTGACACTCTTCTGTACACAAGACCATGGACTCCTCCTACAAGACTGTTTCCCAAAACCTTCTAGCCTGCAGGCCCTACTCGCTCTGGACGTGCCCTACTATTATTTTAGCTGTAAGGTGAGGACAGAGAACACGTGCTCCACTTTTCTGTTATCTTTTCAGTGGGGCCTCCTCATACATGTGCAGTGTTTTTCTCTTTGATTGTGTTTTTCTGTGTTTAAGCTCTTTAGCATACATACATGAACAAATTAGTTTTGTTATTCGTTCTTATGTGAAATCCTGTGTTTGGTTTGACACACTGTAGCTACTGTTTCGGAAAGATGATATCTTCCGACCGGAAGTAAGTGTCTGTACCCCAGAATTCACCCAGAAAGCTTCTGTGTTCTTGATTCCTATCTTCCAGAAGCTGAGATTGTGTTTGATTTGTGCTGCAGTAGATCAAAATAAAAATGTCCATGCCGACAAGATTCACAGCACAAATCCAATCATTGCTTATCTAGATTTTACTGTCGTTGTTCTATCCCTTATGCACTTGATTAATAGATTTGTTTCTGTGTCATTTGGTTTAATCTCCTCCTATCCATTCCTCTGTATTTTTGCATTCCTCCTAGTATTTACTTCTCAAAAATGATTCGACATGCTGTTTTCTAAATCACATAGTTGGTAGTCTTAAAGTCACATCTTTCTGCCTGGTCTTATGTTGTTCAGCCAGGTGAAGGGGACCCAGGCCCAACAAAGGCTTCATCACCTTCACATCCGATTCAGTCAACAACAGATGCTGCTGCCCAGTTCTCCCGTATGGTTTCCAGGCGATCTCTTAGAGACTTTGTCGAGCTGGAAAACTGTGACAAGGCCACTCGTGATGCCATGCTGAACTTCAGCTTCTACCTGACTATTGGCGACATGGATGAAGCCTATAAGTCTATCAAGCACATCAAGAGGTAGGATGTCAGTACATCATTGCGATATCCGTCATGTTTGTAAAGACAGGAGACATGCAGTATGGAATACTCACAAGGGGCTCATTGCCCTGCTTGATCACTGTCATCACATCCCAATAAGTCTTTCCTGCTGAGGATTATACTTCAAAGAATAAGCAGCACTCGTGGGGTAGCATTGTTACAACAGCCTTGACTTTTCTCAGAAGGCTCCACTGGAGCTGCAGTTGGGGAGGCGTAACCATTTGTATACCATGAAGAAAATTATGATTCATTGTTGTCACTAGAATTTATTTTATTTCACTCAAGATTCTTACATTTAAATATTGCATATACCATTTCATATGTTTGCTTTAAAGTCACTTAACCCAACCTAGCAAGTCTCAATGAAACAATTCCAGATCAGATGCTTGAGTCAGTAACAATGCATATTCAGTGTGCTCTTATGGCCACGTTTGATCTATCAAAGCCAAACTTCTGATTATTTACAAGGCTTCATAAAGAAGATTGTACAGCACAGGACATGATTAAGGCCTTTTGGTTTGTCTTTGCTGAGAGAAGGAACTCTTATGTTGTATAGAAGTGACTGTTTTTGTTAGGGTGCGGCTGTATTCTGAGGCTATATACTATTCTAAACACATTTTAACACAAACACAAGGCAGCCCTTTTACCAGTTTGATCTGAAAGCAGCACCCTTTCTGACCTAGCAAACATTAATCCACGTCAGCTCTTGTTCACATGTGCATTCTTGTGTATGAATCAGGGCACTTATTGAGAATTTTGTGGTACGGTTGATTTCACACGTACAAACGTGACGCGAAAGGGGAAAGGGCACCAAAACAAACAAATAAAGCAGCACACTCAAATGACCTGATAGTCCAAAGATTTTAATAGATCTGACGACAGCTTTACTTAGTTATTCACAGATGACTATTTTAAGGCTGCTCCTTTTTCCCCCCTCATTATTTTTTGTAATGAAATGTCAGTATTGTGTTTGATTCCTGCAAATCTCCACCCACAGGAGGGTGCATTTCCTGCAGCCAAAACAACAACTGTGTCTTCTGGGACATTTCCCCTAGCTTGAGTAAAAGATTGACAAGTTTTCATATTAAGGATGTATGACTTAGCTAACAATATTTGTGATCCAACATTTTTCAGTCAGGTCATCTGGACAGTTTCTTTTTTTGTGCTGAAACGTTTCGTCTTCGATCCAGAAGGCTTCATCAGTCAAGGAAACACACAACAAAACTGATTCTTCCCCCAACAGCTTACTCCAAAGTGGAACAAACCAGTTTTGCTTGTGATAAGATGGGCTCTTTGGTACGCCCCTCCTCCAGTGCCGGCCTTCTTCCTTGTTGACAGTCGTGTCAAACTGGTTGAAAACAACAAAGTCCATGCTCAATAATCCAGGTATACAATTCAACATTTTTCAGTCAGGTCATCTGGACAGTTTCTTTTTTTTTTTGTGCTGAAATGTTTCGCCATCTGGTTTGTTCCACTTTGGAGTAAGCTGTTGGGGGAAGAATCAGTTTTGTTGTGTGTTTCCTTGACTGATGAAGCCTTCTGGATCAAAGACGAAACGTTTCAGCACAAAAAAAGAAACTGTCCAGATGACCTGATTGAAAAATGTTGGATTGTATACCTGGATTATTGAGCATGGACTTTGTTGTTAATATTTGTGATCTATAAAATCTCCTGTTTTAGTGTTTAATTTAACCTGGCAGTTCCGAGAGGTTTATATTGAGGCTTCCTACATGTTTTTGAAAAGTATGGAATTTATTTTATAGCAACCCAGTGGTTGTTGAAGACTTCCCAGTTGCTTTCATGTTTTATATTGATGTTGTCAGTAAACAAGGCTAACCTGACACTGTAAAATGTAATAGCAGTTTATAATTAATTTTATGTTATTATCGTAAAAAAACAACAAAAATCCATCTGTCTGTTAGGGTAGATGTGTTTTTTTGTTCATATTGCTCACAGCATTAGGATTATAGATTAAATTAGTTTGTGTTGGTTTGTTGGTAATTATTACAAGACATGCCTGGAAACATTAACATTAACAGCATACGGCACATATTCTGAATGTAACATGACCTTACTGCTTGTGTGAATGGGTGAATAAGAAACATATTGTGAAGTAATCTGTAGAAGCTAGTTGGGATTAAAAGGCACTTTAAAAAGGACAAACTATTACTTTTCACTATAGTCAGGAATTTATGCATCACGTATATCTCTTTTTTTTATTATCTTTTTATTTGGAAAAAGGCAACTTCACTTTACAGTCTTGTAATATGCTCTTCTATACCTTTCTCAGTTTTCTGTAATTTTATGAACAGAGTAAAGAGAGAAGGAAAAAGAGAGGGGAAAAGAGTAGAACAATAGGGAAAGAAGAAAAAAAAAAGAAAAACAAGATATGCCAGCACTTTACACATGAGCTTAAGCACTTGCTGTACAATCAGGTCACGATGAAAATTATATTCTGAAGTTGACAGAAAAAAAAAGAGAAATTAGGCTTGAAAAAGTCATAAAAATCCACTTGAGAAGGGGGAAATGCATATTATCCATTTGTTCCAGATCTCATAAAATCTTTCTTTCTAAAATTTTAAAGAGTATGTTAGTTTTTTTCCATTTTATAGATGTGCAGGATAACATGGAACCATTCTTCTACTGGTAATTGTGGAGGGGTTGGGCTCAACCGCTTTCTTGTAATTGCTTTCTTACTAGCCGCTAAAAGGGCCTGAAGCAGGTTAGTATCTATTCCTTGTTCCAACTTTGCTGCCTGACCCAAGTATATGTTTTGAAAGTCGCATTTAATTTGGATTTTAAACACTTCATTCAAAACGTTACTAATACCCACCCAGTAACTGTTTAACTTGGGGCAACCCCAGAAAACGTGGTAATGATTTGCTTCTGTCGAGCGCCCCCCCGTCCCCCTTTCTTTTTTTTTCCTTAGTTAATTGTAGGACAGAAAATCAAATTCTTGGTTTCATGCCCTGCCAGATGAAACGTGAGATCCATTTATCCCTTTCCTTAAAATGCATGTCCTCCACCTCGACTGGTAAAGTTCTAAAAACATAAAGCAATCGCGGCAAAATATTAATTTTTACTGCATTTATCCTTGATTTTAGGTTCAAGAAGGGGATCAAATTCCATCTGTTCAAGTCCGATTTTATTTTTCATGTAAGTGGTCCATAATTGGTTTGTGATAGTTTTGCAGGATCTTTTGTCAAATTTATTCCCAAGTACTTTAATGAGTTTGCTTCCCAATTTAGATCATATTTGTCCTTTAAAGCTTTGGGAAAATCACAATTAAAAGTCATAACTTGCATTTAGGATATATTTAATTTATATCCTTATAGATTACCAAAAACTGACAATATATTCATTAATTTGAGAAATGATTTCTCGGGATCTCCCAGAAAGACTAATACAGTACATCATCCGTGCACATTGCAACTTTTTGCTCCTCTCCTGCCATTAAGATACCCTTAAGTCCCTCACTTTGTCATATTAATGGGCCAAGGGGCTCATAAGGCAAAAAGATGGGGGGAAATTGGACAACCCTGCCTAGATCCCCTCTGTAGAGCAAATGAGTCCTAGAGATCCCCATTTATCTTTATTCGAGCTCTTGGTTCTTTATACAAGGCTTTTATTATTGCTACAAAATTATCTTTAGATTCAAACTTTTCTAGGACTTTATATAAACATGCCCATCTGACAGAGTCAAAAGCCTTCTCTGTGTCTAATCCTATTATCATAGCCTTGATTTTAGCTTCGATCGACTGTCCTATTATGTGCAGTGTCCTCCTTATATTGTCTACTGTTTGTCTTTGATGGATAAAACCCGTTTGATCTAAATTAATTAGAGACGGCAGTATTTTTTTCTAGTATATGGGCCAAAATAGCCGTGAATAGTCTTTAATCCAAATTCAAAACACTAATGGGCCTATAGTTACCGCATTCTTGTTTATCCTTTCCATCTTTTGGGATGACTGAAATAACTGCATCCCTCCAGGATGGAGGAATTTCTCCTTTTTGTATAACCCAGTTGAAAGTGCTCAGCAGGATAGGAGATAATACTTGTTTCACAGCCTTACTTCACTCCGAGGTCAACCCGTCAGATGCATCACGCATATCTCACAATGGAATGTGCTCAAATCACTGAGTCAGATGCAGATTGAAAAGTCCAATTTTTCCCTGGATGTTCTGCTCCTACTCATTGGTGTTGCCCCTACTTAACAAAAAACTTCTTACCTTGGATTTAAAATCACAATTTTGATTAGCAATGTAGATAAAAGGGATAAAACTCCCAAACTACAAAAAATAAAAAATAAATGAAATAAATGTTAACATTCTATTCCTAATTTTTTCCACACATCACGTGTTTTGTGCAACGGAAGCCAAACGGTAACAACAACAGAAGCCACTGTGCTTGAGTATTTAGAAATACATTTATTGACATGATGACAAATTATTATTTTCATGTGCTCCTGTGTTTACCACTGAAGACCCACACATAGAGTGATCTGGTCCCAATACAGCCATTCTAACAGTAGCACCGTTCTACTTTTGTTTCTGAGTTATATTAATTAAAGATTTTATAATGTGTACCACAAGCAAGCAAAGTTTTAAATGGAAAGCATCATGTGAAAATAAATATAAACAATGCAATTTTTATGTAATTTATTTATTGTCAGTGAAACAAAATCACCTGAAATTTCAAACAATTTCCATACTGTTAATTATCCTTTTGACTTGGTTGTCTTTTTTTAACGTAACAAATGTTCATCAACATCTAGGTGGCTAATACGGTTTAAATATTATCTCTCAGTGGCTTTTTTAAAATAAAATGTTGCCACTGATTTTGTTGAGGACTATTAAAGTCTCTGTTGATCTTGTTTTATTCTCTGATTATACCTTGTTAGTTTGCCAGCCTACTTCCAACATATATAATTAATATTAATGTAATGTTTAAAATATAGACAAATATGAGGTAATTTAGTGAAACTAAGACTTATTTTAACGTGGTATTACTTTAGGGACCTTTTAATAAGTGCCTTTTCATTTTATTTTTAAATAGGTCAAGTTCCTGCTTGATCTTTTCTTAAAGGTGACTTAAACAAGAGAGTCCTCAAGTTCCATACTAGCAACCAATGAGCTTTTAGAAGTGTCCTTACAAGAAACATCATACAATATAGATATGTTTGTAACTTTTTGGTTGCTTTAGATTTATTTCATAAATATGTGACTCCCGTGTTTCAAATAGCAAAATAAATCTGATATATTTATACAGCCAGAAGAAGGAGGAACGTTGTGTAGCAGATAAAAGTTTGTCCAGCTCTTGTGGAGCCACAAGCACGTCTTCTCCTCGTAGGCGTCTCAATCCAGCTGGGGTGAAAGGCGAGTTATTTAGAGCAGTCTTGTAACTTCAGGCCGTAACTTCGTGCTGGCTTTACTTGTGACGTATCAAGGCTCAACAAGGCGACTCCACGTACTCGTTGTCCAGACGGGGGCTAAAAGGTGACGCCAGTGAGCGACTGATGATGATAACTCTAGGCGTTAGGCAGTCATCTCGCCGGTGTAAAATGTTCCAGATGAGCATGGCTGCGGCAATCGTGGCCAGTAGGCAAGCTGTTATGTCCACGTAGCAGGAGTAGGACAGGTGTGTGTAGGGTCCAATTCTGTAGAAGGTCACCAGCCCAATGACGAGCACAAAACCTACAGGGGCACAAAGACGTAATGGACCAGTCAGTCAGACGAACGCTGGCAAAGAAGTGACATTTAGACAAACTGTACAAGTAGATCATTAATCTTTAACACTTCTTATTATGACATTTACATCAAGCAGACCATGTTAGAGAAATGTAGATCATTGTTTTATATCCCACTGAATGTTAGTGACTCCTTACAAGAAATTTGTTGTTCATAGAAGGGCGAATGGGCTGCACATTGAAACTAAATATTTAAAGAAAATAAAAGCCCATCAAGCTTAATGGCCTCTCAATATTGCATCTCTTCTTGATTGTCAGATATCATCTGCCAAAGGAGAATTTCCTCAAGGTTCAAGAACTTTGCAATTGGATTAAAAGCTTGATGACAAGTGGACATTTTATAATTATCTATAAGAGTTTCTTTTGGGGCGGCTGTGTCTGAGTGGTTAGAGCAGTCGTCCTCCAATGGGAGAGTTGGGGGTTTGATTCCACCAGCAGTCACATGTTGACGTGTCCTTGGGCAAGACACCGAAGCCCTCATTGCCTCCTACAGTATGTGTGTACCATCGGTGTATGAATGTGATAAAGTACTGATTAATCTTTGTACAGATCTAGTAGAGTGCTGTATGAATGGGTAAATGAGGCACATATTGTAGTGTAAAGCTCTTTGAGTATCTTGATAAGATAGAAAGATTATATAAGTATATACAAGTACAGTCTGTTTGTATTAGTACATACATACATTTACTGTATATTAGTACAGTCCATTTAGCATTTACTTTCTTTACAAAAATATTTTTAATTTGTTTAATTTTAAATTAATTTTTAAAAAGCTTAAAGCTAAGAAACATTTAGTGTTAATGTGACTTTTGAAATCTGTTTTTTTTTATTTATGAGCTGGAGCTCTGTGTGGGGCCTTTGAAATAGGAAATATGTTTCCTTCTCGGAACTCCTCAGATCTCCAGATTAAAGTCCTCAACAGCCAAAAATATCAGAGCAGAGAATATGTATTTGAAAAGGCCTTTGATATCTTTTATCTCCCAATTTCTTTGATTCACTGAAGTTTAGCTCACACAATGAGGAACTCCTGCTTGCATGTGAAGCCAGAAGCCCTTCAGTTCTTTGCTGTTCAGGTGTGGTCTGCAGCCACTCAATTGTTCAGCGATCACACACGTCAGAACTAACCCCATCCTCAGTGGTATAAATAAAGGGACCAAAAATAATGACTGGAAATCGGGATGTTAGTTCTTTAGGATATGAATCAGTTTGTTTCCTGGTGCAGTCGATGGCACCAGTTGGGGGAGTTCATTTCTATTTCTTTCTACTGAAAGATGGCCGTCATTGTTATAAGTGAGGATGTGGATAATAGTGTCTGTATTTCACTGTGTGTATGCAAAGAATGCAGCTGTTTGCTCGATCTGTTCATGTTTAACCTGTCTGGCTCCTTATTCAAGATAATGAATAATCTCCTGTCCATGTTTGAGCCTGTTCGAGCTGTGTGAACCTCTTTTTTGGCACAAACTTATCTCTCAAACTTCCTTCCCCTTCTTCCTCTTTCCATCCTTCCTCCTTCCTTCGCCACACCCTAAGCCTCGAGGTTGATATATTTGCTGGACGTTTGACATGAGCATGTAAATAACTCCTTGTTCTTGTAAATTTATTTGTTTTCAGTAATTTCCGTCCATTTTTTTGCGTCTTAGTTTATTATTAAAAGGCATACAGTTGTTTAAATTTATCACTTGCTTATCATTATTGAGCCACAAATGTCTGGGGGGAAAATAGACATTTTTAAATAGACTTTTTAAAGCTAGGCACAAATAATCTGAACTGAGATGTTCAGTTCCTCCAAGTCAAAAGAAACAATAGACTGGATTTCACACGGTTGATATCTGCAGTGCCAACTTTTAAATCTACTCAGAAAATGGATTTCAGTGTCGCTCCTGGGCTGGAAGGGCCAGCACTCTGCCTTGAGTCTTGACTAGCTAACAATACGTTGATGTCACTCTGTCAAGGCTAATGTTATTTCCACACCCGCACGCTTGATAAATACGTAATTCCAGAGCGTTTTGGCACGTCTAAAAGTGAAAACATTCCAGTAAAAATATGTCCATTCATTCAGTACTGAAGCCCATTCACGAGCTAAGCAGGGGCAGGGCTAAAGCAGGCATGGATTGAATGGAGCTGCTTCTGTCAGATGATAAGGGCCTTTCTTTGATGAGGAAAATTCAAGATGTTTGTTTGATTTGTTTGCTTTTAACTCTGCGAAATACGGCATGCAAATACAGTACTTATTTTATTTGCTGATCAAACTGTCCTAAGTTAAAATAACACCATAAATATCAAATTGACTCAAGCAAACAAGACAGATTGAAAAATGATCAATTTGATTGACATGCATTGTTTCTTGTCAATCTGCAAAATTTCCATTTGCTCATCATCTTCATGCTAACATCAATTTTCTATGCATACTAATTAAATGACTTAAACAATAACTGTAGATATTAGGGGTGCACCAATTTCACCAATTTCCTTAATTGTGGGAAATTGGAAATCGGCCGATACTTTCATGAGAAACTGATTTTACAGATTTTTTTAATCTTAACTAAAATTGTCTGAACTTCATTTATATTTGAGAGCACTACCTCATGGCCAGTTAAAATAAGTTTGTATTGTTTCTAGGATATTGTTCAAGGGTATGCTTTTCAATAAAATAATATTGGAAAATTGAAGGTACATTGTGACCTAATAAACCTGACAGCGTCGCTTATAAAACAAAATCATTATCGGCAGGTCAGATTTTTTAGAAATCGATTATGGTGATCGGCCAGAAAACTGCAGTTGGTGCACCCCTAGTAGATAGGAGGCAACAATGAATGTTGTAAATACTTTTCTCATAATTTATCTGTATTGCCCACATGTCTGGTTTTTGTTTGACAGCAGAGGTAACTTGAGCGTTTTCATATCATTTTGGGAAATGCATCCCTGCAAATTATTGTACATCTTCTCATTAGCTTTTATTGTTTCACCATATTTTGTGGGATTGAGAACAAATGCATACAATCAAGTGAACAACTTCAGCTTCAAATAGATTTAATATGGATTAGCAACAGCTAAGCTGTCTTGTAAAAATAAAATTGGCTATAACACAGCAAGTTTTACAGATATTGAGATCAATTTGATGTGGTACAGTTGAGACTTGTCCCCAACACAGAAATAATACCCACCAACATATTGAGCAAGATGTTTCAATTAACAGTTGGAGTCGGTGTTTGTCTGTCTAATATCAAATGAACCACTGGACAGATTTTTAACTCATGGAAATTAATAATTTGATGCACATCTAAAACTGATTCACTTTTGGAGTTGTTCCTATCGCAGTCCGTGGAGGGATTGGACCTAGATTCAGGTGGAAACAAGGAGCTCAAATAAACTAAAACTTGTTTATTAAATAAACAAAAGGCTGACGTGGCAACAACAACTTACAAAAACACGGCGCACAAGGCGGAGGACCGTGACATCTAGCAGGTAGCCAGGACAATGAACCACTGTTGGAGTGGTGATCAGGAATGGTTTAAATAGAACGGTGGGTGAGCAACAAGTGACAGGACCTGGGTGATTCATCAAGACGAACAGGTGTGAGGGGTGAGGCTGAGGGTGGAAAGGAGAACTGGCAAGGAACCACAGGAAACTGAACCAAAACACGAGGGACAGAAAATGTAAACCACAAGGAAAAATGAAACAAAGATAAATGAAAGTAGGGCAACACGGTGGCTCAGTTGGTAAAGCTGCCTGTCAGCGAGAAGATAGCTGGATCGAACCGAACCTTTAGTTTGCATTTTCTCTCCATGCATGCATGGGTTTTCTCCGGGTGCTCCGGTTTCCTCCACAGACCAAAAACATTCAACCTTTATTTATACAAGTTAATCCCATTGAGCCTCGGGGACTCATTTACAAGAGAGACCTGATGTTTTAACAAAGAGTGATGACAACAGTGAATAACAACAACATCAAGAGGCAGTCACAAAAGAGGCAAATTTAAATTTCTTTTTTTTTTCTTTTTTTTTTTTTTTTACAAATCAAAACTAAATAGCAACCAAAAGGACAGTCAAAAGGAAAAGTAGCAGAAAAAACCCAGCTAGATTATAAGGTGATGTAGAAAACTAAAAACAGGAACATGTCTGCGTTGGTTTTTGCCATGAATTTAGCAATTGTTTAAAGCCACTTAGAGAGATCAAGGTCGAGAGCTTCAGATCTTTTTGTAAGATATTCCAGGAAACAGGAGCGGAGTAGTAGAAGGCCCTTTTGCCTAGTTCAGTTCATACTGAGGGAACACTGCAGGTAATAATGTCCTGAGAGCGCACGCTGTAGCTGCACTCACGCAGAGACCTGTAGGAGATGTATGAAGGCAGCAGACCAAGAAGTGATTTAAAGATGAAAACGTACCAGTGGGAGAGTCTGCGTGAAGTTAATGATGTCCAGTTAACCAGTGAATACAGGGTGCAGTGGTGGGTACGGTAGTTACAGCCTGTTATGGATCTTAGTGCACCGTGATAGACAACGTCTGTAGCAGAGTGCTTGTAGGAGCGTTCATGTAAATAATGTCACCGTAGTCAATGGAGGAAAGGAAAGTCACAGTTACATGAAAAACATGCATGTTAGTCTGACGGGTAACTCTAATTGTGGGTTAGAATGTGAATGGTTCAAGTTGTTTGTTTTGTTTGTCTCCATGTGTCCCTGTGATGGACTTGTCCAGGGTGTCCCCCGCCTCTGTGGCTGCTGGGTATGGGCACCAGTGACCCCAAGACACAGAAAGGAAGAAGTGGGTAAAGATGATGGATGGATGGATGGATGGATGGATGGATAAATAAATCAAAGTACATAACAGAAAAATACAGACTGTGACAGGTATATGTGAAGATTGCCACCATAACCAATGAAACTTGGGAATCACAAACATAGTTATAGCTGTCAATTTTATTTTATTTTTATTTTGCCCGCTCCCTTCTACAAGTGTCACCCCAGAGAGGGAACTTCACACAAAATATTTATTGTTTTAGACCAAACGCCCTTTCTGACTCAATCCAGGCTCAAACCGGGAGCCTCAGTATTACAAGACCGTGGCACTGACCACCAGGCTATACTACCTCTATTCAGTTTGACATGTATTGAGCTACAATTTGGAATGGTAGTAGCTGAGGGTGCTTCACAACACATATTTTGAGCGATAAACATTGTACAACATATTTGCTCACTTTAGCAATAACTGTTGGCATCAACTATTAGCAAAATATTGCGAACCACTAAATGTATTTGAATGAAAATTTCAAAGAATAATCACTGGATGTACATCAGATTAACTTTGATTTAAACCGAATCAAGATGGCTGTCAAAACTAATTAACCCTATGAAATACATAATTGGATAAAACACAGCTAATGTTTCAGATACGGAGCAAACATTTGGTATGGTAGTAGCTGATTCATTCATAACATATTCCCAAAGAGCTAACACATCTTTCATAACGTTGTTGTTTTTAACAAAATGGCAAAAGCTGTCTTCTGATCATAAAATTATTTAAATCTAAAACTAGCATGAACGATAATATGCATTCCTTCAAGAAATGCTGTCTTTCATTTAGTTCTATATGCCTATAAAACTCAACAGAATATTTACTGTAATATTCAGAAAAATCAGATAAATAATAATTTGCATCATAACAGACTCTGAGACACATTTAACCAGTGCAGCTCTAATATTTTGCACTCTGATTGTTGTCATGTTACTCCGTTTATGTTCGGTTTTTATTTGAGACCATCCCATCATGTCATGTTGTTTCTCAGCGGATTTGTTTACCTTATTTGGTCACAGAGAAAATATTTTTTCCAGGGAGAATAAAGGTTTTTAGATGCTATAAAGAAAGTATTTTTCTTTATTTTTGTACTTTCCCCCCTCTTTATTTTATTTTTCCAGAAACCTCTTCCTTTTGTTGCTGTTTACTATGCCTTTATGAGAGGGATTCTTGGTCACTGACGTTTTGCTGCTTGTGCTGCCTAATATGGAAAATTACAGTAACTTTGGGAGGGTCTTCTCACTGAGGTCTTTGGATAACAGCAGTCATCCCTGCTGCAATCTGAGCTGAATACACTAACAATAAAGAGGATGCTTTATTTGCTGCTTTCTTGGACTATTGTAAACACAGACATAAAAGCTCAGCTTATCTAGACCGACGGCAATTCCCACCCTGCTGTCATGTGTACAGCAGGATATTTCTCTCCCGAAGCACATAATAAACACGCAGTCACAACACACACAAAATCCACCTCTGCAAGTGCATGCACAAACACACAGTCCCTGTCGAAAACTGTCTTTCTCGTTTGTTCCCCCTCCCCTCTTTTTCCTTCTTCAGTTCAGGGCTTTGCATAACAGGTAGTCACAGACATTTCCTCGTCCTGAGCAGGGATATCCTGGCGCCCGACAGTCGCTCCCTGGTCCACGGCAGCTTTGGCCCAGGGATTCTAGATCAGGACTAAATTTAGACCCAGAGCAGATCCCTTCATTTTGCATGAATGCCATGCAGCTCAGCGACCACACTTCCTCAAAAAGGGCTCAGGTACTTCTTAATGCCATGCATTGATGGATGGCTTGAAGAAGAGTTGTTTTACCAGTTTCCACACTTTTTACCAAACCTTTACTTCCTTATCTGCATTAGGAGTGGGTCTGGACTTGAATTTAGCCAAACATTTGCCAATTGTTCAAATGGCAAAACACACAGCAAAAGGTGTATTTCTTTAAGATGGGGTCTAAAAGCTGTCAATAAACACATACAAGGTGACCTTTGAGCTTGCAACCAAGCTACGTTCACCTTGTAATTTTAAGTCTAATGTTATTATTACACTCTTCAAACGGGGTTTGTATTATATTTTATTTGTCCGTGTCTTGAATTGCATGTGTTAGACTTGTTGTTCTCAGAGATAAAGTACAGTAAATACAAACACAATGCATGCTGGTACTCACTGGCTAGTTGAAAGAGTGCAGCAATGGCCTCCTCCCACCACTGGGATTCCTGTGTGATGAAGGGCAGCTCCATCAAGCCTAGAAGGAAGATCAGCTGACCGGCAGTCAGGGCCACTGTCGCCATCAGGTTACACGCTCGCATCATGTTAAACTGCACTTTAGGGACCAAAAGAAAAGTTGTCTTAACTCTTGCACTTTGATACAAACACATTGAAAGTGAACGCACCACAATCGAGACAAAGCTTACACGAGTATTGCTTAGTCTACAAATATATCTAAATCTTTAAGTTCAGACGATCATTTGGGAAACAATAAATTGCTCTTGTATTATTATGATTTCTAGTTTTTTTTTAATGTTATAATACTTCTTTGGGTAATATTGGCAGAAGTGCTGCTATTTGTCAGCCAGTGGAAGTTCAGCATTTCCCAGAGTTGTTCTTAAATGGCATTTTCTCAATGGAGCATGAGTTAGTAAAGCACACAAGCCGGTCACAGCACCGTTAATGTTTATCCAGATACTCAAACCCAGCAGGGAGATGGAAAGCCAACAAAGAAGACATGAACTTTTTAATAAAGCACATTCCATAAATTCTTGACCAGCTACCATGGCTTAAAGTTTACTTGAGTGCAATAGCTTTCTATTGCACTCAAGTAAACTTAAGGTTTTAAGTTACGGCTTGAGTGAGTGCATTCATAAATTTAACCTTTTAACTTACATTTTTAATGACACAGAAATGGAAAAATCTGGTAAAATGTTTTCGTATAATAGTATTCCCTTTCTTTCCTAAAAGAACCACTTCATGTATGATGTGCCAATTTACAAGTATACGAGGAAAACATTTTACGCCTTACTGTTTTTTTAATATGCATCTTATTTGCAAAGTAGAGCTAATAACACTGAAATCTGAAGCGAGGTAAAAACTTACATTTAACAGTGCTGCGAGATTCTTGGTAGCCTGCGTACTCTGATCCCCATCCGATGCTTTCACACTGCCTATGTGTCCCTTGCACTTTACTGACAGCCTGGAGGTCATCACGACCCCGCTCCCCTCCAGTGGGGCACATTCTCCACAGTCCCACACTCCTCTTACGTCCATCTTCCAGAGTCTGAAGGACCCAGCTTGTGGTGAAGGCTGCAACATTATTCAGGACAAGTGAGAGCAGGGCTACCACCACCGCTGCCGTCACCAGCCTCTGCGCGGCCATGCAACGCCTGACGCCCGCCACCTCTCCCCCTCCGTGGTGTCCCTCTTGCAGCTGCTGTTCCTCCTCGGTGCTCTGCTCGCTCCCCTCCTCAGGGCCAGAGGCACCAGCAGTGCTCTGGGCCCCCTGACTCCACTCCACGACCTCCTCTTCTTCCAGCTGTCAGATAGTGTTCTTACAGCTCGCACAGATGACTTGGCAAGAGCGTTGTTTAAGGGTTAGCTAAAGAACATCTCCATTCATCCTCATCCAGGAGTTGGTTGTCGTTGCAGCGATCCTCAGCCCTCCTCCTCAGACAGCAGTGCGGGTACTTGGGGATTAATCCAACCGGGACCTGGTTCCATTCCACTGACTTCCACCTTCTGCAGCTTGGCTTCTAGCTCCTTGCTTTAAATTGGCCCTTTTGTTGTTGTTGTTGTTGTTGTTGTTGTCGTCTTTTCTTTGCTTCTTCTCTGTCTGATGCACTCTTCTAAGTTCTCTGTGTGCAGTTAGTTTCTTTGTAGACACTTTTTAAAAATCACTTTTTAGTAGTGCCACGTTGTTTTTAAAGAACAGGAATTCTAAAAGAAAAAAAAACTAACTAAAATAATGAAACAAATCAGTTCTTTGGACAGCGTTGCTAAGAGATGGCTCGTTGCTGGATTTGCTTAGGCTAACTTGAAGCGCCCCTGCTGTCTGACTGGAACAACAAGTCCTCGAGCCCACCTCCTGCAGCTTCTTTCTGTCTCGCTCACCCCTCTCTCTCTCTCTCTCACACACACATGCACACAGACACACTCTGCAAAATGCTTAAAGTCTGAGTGAAATCATGGGGGAGTTGCTCTTCATCATGGTTCGAGACATCATTGTGCAAATCTTTTGAGCTTTAAGCTAACAGTGGTCTCCTTAATGATCCATTTTAAGTGTGCATGTGCACATGTGCTTGTGTGTGTCCCAACAAAAACTGGTCATGGACTTAACTGTTTTTTTTTTTATATTCTTTTGTCTGCAGACCAGGGGGCGTTTGTTAAAGTCCCGTCTCTCATGTGCATACTTGCCACCACAGTCAGCCAACAGGATGTGTTTCCTGAGAGGAAGAGAGGATGGGAAGAGGGGCCAAATGTAGATCTGTTTCTTCTCTTTGTCTTTCCTTTTCTGGCTCTGTAGATCCGCCGCTTTGTGTGCAGCAGCTTTCATGGTTTTATCAGTGTGTTCTGTGGCCATACAAGGTATAATTTTGGTTGACACTTGACTGCTCTTGCTTTAATATTTCACTTGGCCTCCTTTGCTTCTTCTTATTACAGGGCCCCTACAGATTTGGGGTATTTCCTGTTGCTTGAGTTTCAATAAACAACCCACATCTGTATCTGCTAAAGCAAAGAGGAGGGAGTAGATGCAAATAGAAACCAGATGGCTGTGGAATTTTTAATTCTGGAAACTGAAGCTAAAGTAAAAAAAAGAAGCAATTTACGTCATCAAGCCAAAAGCGGAAAAGAAGAGGAAAAAGATTAAAAGTGCATCTCTTGCCTTAAGTTGAAGGTGTTGTGTCAAATATTTTAAGAATCACATTTTTTATTGGCATACTGTCTTGGGATCAAAAATAAACTCCAGATATCTTGTGAATAACTTGCATCAACGTTGTGTTTTTCCCCAAACAGGAAGTCTCTTATCAGATGTACTTAAATGTGTACCAGTGTTTGCACTGTTGAATGATAAAATGCCACTGAAATGAGCAACCCTTGCAAACAGCCACTTCTCCTTTCTCTCTAGTAAAGCAGTATGGGAAAACATGGCACGGATGTGTGTGAAATACCGCTGGCTGGACGTAGCACGAGTGTGCCTGGGGAATATGGGGAATGCCAGAGCAGCAAAAGCGGTAAAGGAGGCGGAGGCCGAGCCTGAACCTGAAGCCCGAGTGGCGGTGTTAGCCGTTCAGCTCAACATGCTAGTAAGTCATTCAGTCATCCAGGTGTAAATGACCTTATTATAAAGAAAATTAAAGCTGTGCCTCAGTTTTTGAGATTTAAGATGACCTTCATCTGCACATGACAGTTTTTTTGTTTGTTTGTTTTGTTTGGGAGTAAAATGCTAAAATGAAATATTTAAAAATAACAAAGCAGGAAACCAGATTATATAAAACAAGTACAGTGTTTCAAAATAAAATAAATTGTAATATGTGATCATACAAACCGGGCAGCACGGTGGCGCAACTGGCAGAGCTGCTGCCTCTCAGCGAGCAGGTCCTTGGTTCAAACCCCGGTCCAGGGGCCTTTCTGGGTGGAGTTTGCATGTTCTCTCCGTGCATGCGTGGGTTTTCTCTGGGTGCTCCGGTTTCCTCCCACAGACCAAAAACATGCATGTTAGGCTGATTGGTAACTCTAAATTGTCCCTAGGTGTGAATGAGAGAGTGAATGGTTGTTTGTCTCGTTTGTCTGTATGTGGCCCTGTGATGGACTTGCAACCCGTCCAGGGTGTACCCCTCGCACAGTGATTGCTGGACATGGGCACCAGCGACCCCCGTGTCCCAAAATGGAACAAACGGGTAAAGATGGATGGATCATACAAACCCCCCTGCTGTCCAGCATACAGTGAAGGGACATCCTTCGGCTACAAATAACACGTCCTCTTTTTAGGTCCAAGCATGTCACCGTGCACAGGCTGCGGGACTTTCCTGACTGAAAGCTTTGTTTATCTTTCCATCTTCTTTTCCTGTCCTTAACAGGAAGATGCAGAAAAGTTGTACAAGAGCTGTCAACGCTATGACCTGCTGAACAATTTCTACCAGGCCTCTGGCCAGTGGCAGCAAGCTTTGCAGATGGCTGAAACTCACGATCGTATCCATCTGCGCACGACTTACTACAATTACGCCCGACACCTGGAGTCCATGGGCGACAAGATACTGGCACTTACTTAGTAAGATAATGAGTAGTTTTATGGCAAGAAAGCAGTACCTTGGAGTTTATGTCTTTGTTTACATTTACCATTGAAGCAACTTGTTATTATAAACCTTATTTTTCCTTACAGTTATGAGAAATCAGACACACACAGGGTTGAAGTGCCCAGAATGCTTCAGGATGACACATCGTCTTTAGAAGTTTATGTCAACAAAATGAAAGATAAGTGAGTTCAACCTTGATACTGAAAAAAAAAAGTAACATGTTCAAACAGTATCATTGATAGCATGGATTAGGTTACATTTAAACATCAGCCTTATCGATGCAGGAACATCTATAAGTGGTGGGCCCAGTACCTGGAGAGCCAGTCGGACATGGAGACGGCGCTGCAGTTCTATGAGCGTGCTCAGGATTACCTCTCTCTGGTCCGAGTCCACTGCTACATGGGGAAAATTCAAGAGGTCAAAATATTTCTTTAAAAAATATTTCATTTTTGAGCTCAACGTTTTGTCTGTTTTTGCTGCTGGCATTGAGCCGTAAAAAAAAAATCACTGTAATGCCACTTGATTGTTGAAATGTGCTGCTGATTTATTTCATGCTGCTGATCTCATGCTGCTGATTTATTTCATGCTACTGTGTTCATTCATGCTCATCTGCTCACACAGACTCATGTTTGTGCTACTGTTGTATTGTTTTTGTGCTACTAGTGCTTAGTGTATTCTTAGTTTAGTGTTTTTCTTAGTTCATATCTTAGATCTTATTACTGTTTATGCAATTTACACTTTTGTTGGATGTAACTGGGACCCTGTGCACACAATTTCATTCCACCACATGTACCACATGTGATAATGACAATAAAAATAAGTGCTAGGCTACTATAGTTTTAGTTGTACTGTGTAGCTTAACAGTATCAATAGTAATACTGTGACTAAAGTACATTCTGTTTTAGTACTGACTTAAAAATGAAGTTGGACACACCTGTGCGCACATCTGTTTTAAATTGTAATGATGCATGTTTTTCTCCCAGGCCTCTCAGATAGCCAATAAAACAGGTGACAGAGCAGCTTCGTACCACCTAGCCAGACATTATGAGGGTCATGATGATATCAAGCAAGCAGTTCACTTCTACACACGAGCCCAGGCCTACAACAACGCTATACGGCTCTGCAAGGTAAAGTTTTCCACCTGTGTCTGTCTGCCCACCTCCCACCAGTTAAGTCTTTAATTGAGCCGTCTGGTTTTGTCTCACCAGGAAAACGGTCTGGATGACCAGCTGATGAACCTGGCTCTGCTCAGTAACCCAGAGGACATGATGGAAGCTGCCTGTTACTACGAGGAGAAAGGCACGCACATGGACCGAGCTGTCGCACTTTATCACAAGGTCCATATTTCCACAAGGGGGCAGCATTGTAACATGTTCAACTTGAGCAAATCCTAAATTATAAAAGGCTCTGTGTGAGATGTAAACCAGAACTTCATCCGAGTATTTAATTCCCCCTTGTAGGCTGGTTATGTCTCCAAAGCTCTGGAGCTGGCCTTCGCCACTGAACAGTTCTCTGCTCTTCAACTCATCGCAGAGGATCTGAATGAAAACTGTGACCCTGCACTCCTCTCTCGCTGCTCTGAGTTCTTCATCAAACATTCCCAGTATGAAAAAGCAGTGGAGTTACTGGTTGCAGCCAAGAAGGTACCAATTATTGTGTGAAACATATTGACCCAACTAGCTGTGGGTCAGTTCACGAGTAATCACTGACTTGGGTGTCATTTTTTTGTATTTGCTCAGTACTTTCAGGCTCTGGAGCTGTGTTTGATCCAAAACCTGACGATCACTGAGGATCTGGCTGAGAGCCTGACGGTAACTGACTCGAAGGACCTGCCTGAGGAGGCCCGCAAGGAACTGCTGGAGAAGATCGCTGACTGCTGCATGCGTCAGGGCAACTACCACCTGGCAACAAAGAAATACGCACAGGCTGGCAACAAACTCAAGGTGCATCATAAATGCTGTGTGGATTACATCAAAACAGAACATCTGACAATATTATGTTTTAGACCAAAAACACACTTTTTTTAACTACTAAAATAAAAAAGCTGTTGCTTAAGATCTTTTGGAATTAAATAAATGTAACTAAAGATAAACAAACACAAAATGCATACCGTACTTTCCGCCATACAAGTGGCACCGGCGTATAAGTCGCATAAGTCCAAAAATGTCTAATAAAGTGGGAAAAAACATAAATAAGTTGCTTCGCCTTAAAAGTGGCATCTATTATGAGTCACCGCTGACATGTCGCGTTTGTTATGTGTCACTGCTGATCACCTGAAAACGTAGGCCAGTGTTGTGCCAAAAATCAATCGGCTGCCAAATGGCGGCCGCGGGAGCGTGCACGGGACGACTTTAACAATAATTTTAACCAGATTAACACTTAAAAACAATTATTTGTTTTCTCGAAATTATAGCAAAGGTGTGTCTCAGTTGAACTTTTCCTTAATGAACTTTAATGGTCAAAACAAGCGGGTCTGGAATCAACAGATACACCTACTGGTAGTAGTCAAAAGCCTAGAGGGCCCTCTCATGACTAGCTGCTGTAAATGGTAGTGCTCTATATTTTCCATGTCAGAATGAATGAAAGCGTCAGATGTCAGTCAAAAATTGGGTTATAAATATGAGGAAAAATAATGTATATTAGTCGCTTCGCTGTATAAGTTGCAGGACTTGCAAGTTTATGCAAAAAGGTGCAACTTATTCTCTGGAAAATACATAATATACTGTTCTTCAGATCTCTTAACAAGCACTCGATTAAAATGTTAAAAATAGTAAGTCAATAATAAATGCTAGTCAAATTCAGTAGCAATTTAAAAAGAATAGCTTTTTAGATAATTCTTGTGTTTCTGTCTTCTTTCCATTAATGGCTGGGAACAGATAAAAATACAACCTAAAGTTTTAATGAATAGTTTGATGTATTTTTGCCTTTTTATATTAAATTGTACCAGTTTAAAGTTTTATAAGTACATTTAAAAAAATCCAACAAAGTGAAGTCAGGTCCTCTGGACGGTTTCTTTTTGTTGAAACGTTTCGTCTTTCATCCAAAAGACTTCATCAGTCCCAGGAACAAAAACAAACTCGGTCTTAATGACTACTAATGAATGCACGTGAGGAACAAAAAACAAAAATGTATTACTGTATTTGGAATTATTTTAGTTTTTATTTATGCTCCCCCCACACCACCACCACCACCTTTTAGCATCCACACATTGTTCTTTTTCTGGATTTTCTGTTTGTCTTTTAGCGTCACTTTTACCCAAACGATGTTCCAAACAGATAAAGTTATTTTGCTTTGATTTTAAGCAGGACTCTAGAGTGATAAACAAAGTCTTTGATTTGTTTGTTTCAAGGCGATGAGGGCACTCCTGAAGTCCGGCGACACGGAGAAGATCGTTTTCTTTGCCAACGTTTCCCGCCAGAAAGAACTTTTCATCATGGCTGCCAATTATCTCCAGTCTCTAGACTGGCGTAAAAACCCGGAGATCCTTAAGACAATAATTAGTTTCTACACTAAAGGCAAAGCTCCAGAGCTGCTCGCTGGCTTTTATGAAGTTTGTGCACAGGTAGAGCAACACGATTTAATTAATTCTTGTTTGAACTGGATAAAACCAGAATATTTTAGAGGGGCTCTTCACAGCATTCTTTATTTGAGTTAGGGATATTTTATTGCTGTAGTATATAAACAGAATGAAACTAAAAAAAAAGACTCATTTGTGCCCCTTTTTATTTTAATGTGTAATAATTAAAATCTAACATTTGAAACATGACAAAATATGTTTATAAATAAAGTTGTGTTGGTCTAAGCTTCGATAAAGTGTCTGTGGTTGCAGGTGGAAATAGATGAATACCAAGATTATGAAAAGGCTCTCGATGCTCTCATGGAGGCTTTTAAGTGTCTGTCCAAAGCAAAGGACACTTCAGGTGGACAACGGGAAGTGAGACTAGCTGACCTTCAGCATAAAATCAGCCTAATCAAGAAGTTTGTCCACATACGCAGGTAAGAGTTTCTGTTTGTGTGAAAAATACTCAGAATCTTGCCTGGAATCGTTTGCTCCTGGACGTGTTTGTTACTTTTTCTCGTTTGCCGTCAGGTTGTATTCAGAGAATGCGGATGAGGCGGTGCAGTTATGTGAAGCTCTCCTGGAGGAACCAGAGATGGATCCTGCTGTCAGGATTGGAGATGCATTTGGTTTTATTGTGGAGCACCACTGTCATCAAGGGAACTTCCAAATGGTGACTCAGCAAATCTTAACTACGTTTTTTTTCATTCGCTTATTTGGTGGATTTTCTAGGAACTGTTTTAATTTGCTCACATTTTGCCTTTTTTATTTTCAGTAATCAGTGTTTTTGTTTTGTTGTTGTTGTTTTTTTTTAATTCTCCAGGCCTATCAAAAGTTGGAGGAGCTCCAGAAGCTGCTGCCGTCGCAGAACGTGAGATATTACATCAGCCAGCCCAGCCTGGACGCCCTGCACAAAGAGCTGGGTGTAGCTCTGGCTCAGGGCGAGCACAGACGCAGCCTGAAGGAGGACGACGAAGTGGAGGAGGAATTAAATATGTCTTAACTTCATCAGTTTTTTAGCTATATAGAAAGTCTTTTATCAGAGCGACAAAAAAAAAAAAAGTTCAGCGCGTTTTGTATTAAATAGTGGCATTTATAAAAGGCACTTGATCCTCACACAAATACAGTAAAAGTAGAAAACTAAACCATAACTATATATATA